AACACACACACACATATATATATATATGTGTGTGTGTGTTTTATTTGTGCTGATAAATAAATAAAGGGAGACTAGTATAGATCTATTTCAAGCTATTTAGCTCTCATCAGCTAGCCATACCCTTGCTGGGATTCGAACCTGTGATGTATTGCATCTTAGGCAAACGTCTTAGCCATTATGCCACAGGTCTCCTCCTTATCAGCTGAAGCCAGGGAATATACAGTCAATACTTTCAACTTTTTGGGCCTGGAACCTGTCGTGGTGCCACTCAAAGGAGCTATTTAGTTGTATGGATCTTCTGAACTTCCATCAAACGTGTGGTGAACAAGTTTGAAGGGCATTTTGTACAGTCCATGTTGAAAAACTCTCATCATTCCTCAGATGTCACTATTCTTGAGAGCATCCAGGCAGTTTTAAAAGAAGTAGAAAGGTGTGTTGGAGATGGTGGGCTGACCCTCCTCATCAACAATGCTGGCCGTTGGTTCTTTGAAAATCTAGAAAAAGAGAATGCCAAGGATATGCAGACTTTATATTCGATCAACACCATTGGACCACTGCAAATGAGTCAGGTTTGTTGATTCTTTATTTTTTTGGAAACCACATTTGAGCAAAGTCCCTTATATTACAGGGATGCCCAACTTTGGCAACTTTAAGATGTATGGACTTCAACTGCCAGCATGGCTGGCTGGGGAATTCTGGGAGTTGAAGTCCACAAGTCTTAAAGCTGCCAAGGCTAATATATTATTTGACACAAAACTAAAAAAAACCTCAATATAAATAAAGCAGAATGATAATGCTCAAAATGAGTAGACATTGTAGAGTGATTTTGAAGCAGGTGGAATATCCTTGAGCTACCTGCTTGGGGTATCTTAGTCAGAAGAACATCTTCTAGGCTACTGTGACCTTTGTGGTTATAATCACCCATAATCCTTCGGAGTTAAACACAGCTTGACACAATCCTTAGACATATCAAGGCAAGATCATATGAGATTGTTCAGATCCTTCAATCCTGGGGATATAGATACAGTTCTACGTTCTACAGTTCTCCATCAGGAATAGGCTGCTGCTGCTGCTGCTGCTGCTTCTGCTTCTTCTTCTTCTTCTTCTTCTTCTTCTTCTTCTCCTCCTCCTCTACCACCACCACCACCTCCTCCTCCTCCATCTCCTCCTCCTCCTCCTTCTTCTTCCTCCTCCATTTTCTCCTCCTCCTCCTCCATCTCCTTCTCCTCCTCCTTCTTCTTCCTCCTCCACCTCCCTCCTCCTCCTCCTCCTCCTCCTCCTCTTTAAGTGATCCACTTGAGTATGATCAGTCAGGAGCTGGATGACTGTGGGAGGAGTCCCTTGGAGAACAGCTTCAGTTGATAGAAGTCCCTTTAGTTATCTGATGCCAGCATTTGATGCACAATTTGTTTTCCCAGACCTAACTTCAACCTCTCCACCCTTTTCCTCTTCTTCCCTGCAAGGCCTTTCTACCCCTGTTGAAGAAGGCAGCCCGGAATAGTCCAATGCAAGGGCTGAACACCAGCAAGGCGGCCATTATCAATATTTCCAGTTCCCTTGGCTCAATGGAGGTTATGCTTATTTGGGAGAAAGCACAAGTAGTTTCGTACCGTTGCAGTAAGGTACCTAATGTGATTTCTATCTGGATTTTCCTGCACATCATTGGAACTTCCTTTTTCAGTCATTGCTGGGTCTGCCCCTACATGCTTGTCACTTAAAGAGTAATTTATTAGTGACTGTTGTGATTTGGAATGGTTTGGAAAGACAAGAAAATAGGGACCTTTTATGAACCTATACTCCCTTAATTTGTGGTAGAGTCAGGGTGATTGAATGAAGCTGAGCATTTACTGGCTGGATGCCCTTCCTGATGCCACATGGACTTCACAGCAATTTTTTTTTGCACCCTAGGAGAGAAACTGCTACTGCTACCTAGGGTTGAACTCTTAACCTTCCACGTGGGAGGCAAACATCTTCACCACTTGGCCATCATGCCACTCAATGCAATATAATCAATTAGATACCTATTTCTTTGCTAGCCAAAACCATCCATATGGTGGGCTTCCTTCTCCCCTCTCCTCCTTTCTGTGATAACAGAACTGTTTAATAGTCCAGTTGTGGTGTGTTGCCTCCTCCTTTCCAGCCCTGGAGGAGAACAGAGTAGTCCAATATAATCAAATGATTTGTCTTCTCTTTCATCTGTATTTCCTACTCCAAAAGCATGCATTTTCTTTATATCTATGGAGATACTCCGTCATCCAAGTCATGGCTGTCCCAAGGGTGGTTTATTTTCAAGAGGCAACTGGACTTCCTGGTTTTTCTTTGAAGTTTCGCTTCTCATCCAAGAAGCTTCTTTCCTTATAGTTCTTTTTTTTCTCCTTTTTGCTTATGCAGGCTGCTTTAAACATGCTCACCAAGTGCCAGTCACTTGAGTATTCAAAGAGTGGGATTCTGACGGTAGCCATCCATCCTGGTTTGGTAAATACAGCTAACAACCGTTACGTAAGTCTTTTAATCCTGGAAAAAGAAATAATGCATTTATCCATGGACCCTGGTTGTATGTGCATATACTCTGGGTGAATAATTTAAATTCTATGCCCTACAGTAATTTTTAATGAAATATAACAAATGCAAAAATAAAAAGTCATACAAACTTTAAAAAAAATGAAATAGAGGTGCAGAAAAGAGAAGAGAAAGAAAAGACAAAAAGAAGAAAAAACCAAAAATATATTAAAGGAAAAAAAACCATTTCCATTTTGCTTAGGATCTAAGGTGGGTTTCACGTGTTCTACCGTCTGACAGATTTCTAAAAGATGGTTTATTGAAAATTGGGAAAAGATGATTTGCCAATTTGGAAAAGTCTGTTTTGGAAAATATCTTGGCATGCAGTGTGCTAAACATGTGGTAACGCAAGTCATACGAGTTTGCTTAAAGTATTAAAAACAGATCCTTTGGCTTGCAAAGTATGCTTCCCCTGGTTTTGTTTAATTTATTCTATGAACTCAAATTTAAGGATTTATGGAATGCATTGGCCCATCACTTGATCACAGAGGCTGCTGTTTTGATCTAGGCTTCCCCAGCAGCACAAAGTCAAGTCCTCGTCCCGATAAACCCGTTTTATTTAATTTACAGTGAGTTCCTTTCCAGCAAAGTCTTGGCCCACAGTCTTTCAAGATAGTTCACAATTACCGATCTTTATCACGCTTGGAGAGTGGCCATGCCAATATCTTTCAGATACCTCAATACTTGGCAAGAATGAACTAATTGTCTCCTGCAAACTCCAATCCACTTTCGCTCCTCTTTTATTCCCTGGGGGCGGGGACATTCACTGTCCACTGGTGGCCTTACTCCCAAGTCGACCCTTGTTCCTTAGCTGTTCCCTTTGTCTGGCAACTCTGTGCATGTGCACACTGGGAACAGGCTCCAGCTGTTCATCTGCCTCACTGATGTCTGACTCCGAAGGCAGCTGATAACTGTTAGACGGCTCTGTCCCCCTCTCTGGCTATGACACAGAGCCCTCTTCAGAGCCTTCCTCAGACTCCAAGACCGGCCCATGTTCCTCCCCAACCTCCTCACTGTCCGACTCTGCTGCCAGCTCCGCTGGTGGGCCGCAACCCAGGGTTAGGGGAGAGAAAAGGGAGAGAAATGGAGTGGAGGGTGGGAAAGGAGAACTCGGCAGAAAGGACCACAACTCATCGTGGCCCAGTGAGGCCCCCCGGGTTGTCGACAAACGCAGCTCCTGCTGTTGCTTGATTGGAGAGAGAGAAAGAGAGAGAGAAAGAAAGAGAAATACAGTAGATAGGTAGGGAGAGAGAGAGAGAGAGTAGGTAGGTAGGTAGGGAGATGTTTCCAGGTGTATTTATCCATGTGCTGGAGAAGGAAAT